AAAAGATAATACCAAAAAAAAAAAAATCAATGAAACAAAAAGCTGCCTCTTTGAAAGGATAAACAAAATTCTTGAACCCCTAGCTGGACTGACCAAGAAAAACAGAGAAGAAAAAGCCCAAATAAACACACTCAGAAATGCAAAAGATCAAGTCACAACTGACCCTGAAGAAATACAAGAGATTATCAGAGACTATTATGTATACTTGTATGGAAACAAACTAAAAAATCTAAAGGAAATGGAAGACTTTCTGATATCACACAATCCCCCCCAGTTTGAAACAAGAAGAAATCGAGACCCTAAATAGACAAATAACAATCTAGGAAATTGACTACATTATAAGAAAACTACCTACAAAAAAAATAAAAAAGCCCCAGACTAGATGGTTTACCAGCAGAATTCTACAAAACATACCAGGAGGAACTGATACCAATCCTATTGAAAATATTCCAGGCAATTGAGAAAGATGAACTCTTCCCAAATATTTTTTTTTTTTTTTGAGTTGAAGTCTCACTCTGTCGCCCAGACTGGAGTGCAGTGGCCACTCCTGGCCACCGCAGTCTCGACCTGCTGGGCTCCGGCGATCCTTCCGCCTCAGCCTTCCGAGGAGACGGAATTACAATCATGCACCACCACGCCCAGCTGATTTTTTGATTTATTGTAGAGATGAGGTCTCGCTGCCCAGGCAGGTCTCGAACCCGCGGGCTCAGGCAATCCACTCACCTCAGCCTCCCAAAGGTGCAGGATTACAGGCTGAGCCACCGAGCCCGGCTCTTCCCAAATATTTTATGAAGCTAACATCACATTGATACCCAAGCCAGGCAAAGATCCAACAAAGAAAGAGAACTACAGGCCAATATCCTTGATGAACTTAGATGACCCTAGCTTAGGTCAACAAGACCCTAGCCAACTAGATCCAACAGCACATCTCAAAATCACACACCACACCAAGCAGCCTTCATCCCCGGAATGCAGGGCTGGTTCAACATTCGTAAGACCACAAATGTATTGAAATACATCAACAGATGTAAAAACAAAAACCACATGACTCTATCATTAGACATGGAAAAAGCATTTGATGAAATCCAGCACCCCTTCTTGACAAAAATCCTCAAACGTCTAGGTATAGATAGAACATACTTCAAAAATAGAAAGCATCATCTTTAAGAAATCCACAGCAGGCATATTGCTAAATAGACAGAACTTGGAAACATTTCACCTGAAAACCAGAACAAGAGTTCAACACAGTTTTGGGAGTCCTAACTAGAACAATCAGACAAGAGAAGATCAAGGGTATCCAAATACAAAAAGAGTAAGTCAAGTTATCCCTCTTTGCAGACGACATGCTATAGCTAGAAAACCCAAGAGAATCTATAAAAACCTCTTTGCACTAATAAAGGACTTTGACAAAGTGTCACAGCATAAAATAAATGTGCAAAAGACAGTCACATTTCTACATATCAACAATAAACAAACAAACCCAAATAAAAAGCATAATCCAATTCACAATAGCCACACATAAAAAATGAAATACCCTGCCATTTTCCTAACCAGAGATGTGAAAGACCTTTACAACGAAAACTGCAAAACACTGCTCAAAGAAATCAAAGATGATACAAACAAATGGAAAAATATTCCATGATCATGAACTGGAAGAATCATTGTTAAGATGTCCATCCTACCCAAAAATTTAATGCAATATCCATTAAATTACCAGCAGCATTCTTCTCAGATCTGGAATTCATATGGAAATATAAACGAATAGCCAAAACAATCCTCAGCAAAAACAAACAAAAAAACCAAAGCAGAAGGTATCACACTCCCATACTTTAAAATTTATTATAAAGCTACAATAATCAAAACAACCTGGTACTGGTACACAAACAGGCATACAGACCAATGGAACAGGATAGAGATTCTAGAAGTAAAACCTCAGTTTCTCAACCAACTCATCTTTGACAAAGCCTCCACCACCAACCATTGGGGAGAAGAGAACCTATTCAGCAAATGGTGCTGGAAAAACTGGCTGACCACATGCAGAAGATTAAAACAAGACCCCTACCTATCACCATACACAAAAATAAACTCTAAATGGATCAGAGACCTAAATGCAAAACCTCAAACTATAAGAACTTTAGAAAATGCAGGAGACACCCCTATGGAAATTGGAACTGGCAACCAATTCCTGATCAAAAAGACTCCAAGTGCCCAGGCCATAAGAGGTAAGATAGACAAATGGGAACTCATCAAACTGACAAGCTTCTGCAAAGCCAAAGAAATTATCAAGGGAGTGGAGAGAGAGCACACAGATTGGGAAAAAATATTTGCCAACTGTATGTCTGACAAAGGCCTGACATCTAGGATCTACAAGGAACTCAAACATGCCAAAAAGAAAAAAAACAACCAACCCCATTACAAAGTGGGCGAAAGATATGAATAGACACTTCTCAAAAGAAGACATACAAGCAATCAACAGATAGAGGACTGGATAAAAAAAAGTGTGCTACATATACGTGATGGAATATTACCCAGCCATAAAGGACAAAATCATGAATTTCACAGGCACTTGGATGAACTTAGAGTCTATAATACTGAGCAATCTAACACAGAAAAAAAGAACTGAGTATCACATGTTCTCATTCATAAGTGGACCTTGAACAATTATTGTAATACTGTAAGAAAATGATTGGCAGTAGTGGGAATCTGCTGGGGGAGGGGGAGGCACACCTTATCAACAAAGGTACCTGCATAATGAACATTTGTATACCTAACCCTAAATTGTACTCCACATCTTTAAAGTTAAAAGTTAAAAAAAAAAAAAAAGCCTAACAGATACCTATGGAACACTCCACCAAACAAGAGCAGACTTTTCAACTTCATCTGGGTTAAGTTGCAGAATAGACCATATGTTTACTGATAAAACCAGTCTCAATAAATTTTAAAGGACTGAAGTAACTTAAGTATATTCTGCAACTACAATGGAAATCAATAACAGAAGAAAATTTGGGAAATTCACAAATACATGGAAATTAAATATCAACATATTCTTAAAAACTAATGACTCAAGGAAGAAATCACAAAGGAAACTTAGAATATTTGTTCAATTTCAAACATTTACCCAAAAACAAGCAAGTAAAGAGAATGCAAAGCTGTTCTGATGGGGAAGTAAAGTTGAGAGAAAAAGAATCCTTATCTTGATAAGCTAAATGTGAGAATTTAATGCTATAAAGTTTGCCAGATTGGGAAATACTAAAAATATTGTGCCACTAATTATCACTGATTTTGATTCTTAGCTAGGCACTAACTCATAACTATTCTGTTTGTGGGCATCCAGAATATTGGACAAAAATTACCAGACCCTATGGATGTATTCATAAGAAACAACTCATTAGAGTTTTTCTAACGTATTACCAAATTGATAGATTAGGGAAATATGCAGAGTACTGGAGCTGAACTTCAGAAAAGAACTAGAAAAGGTCTCACCCATAATGGCAGACAGCAGAGAGACACTGGGACTTAGTACAAGAACCATTTAGGTGGATCAATAACTGGTGGAACAGCTGTCACCTGAAGGGTTAGTTCTAGTAACACATTAGTGCTATGGACTCGGTGTTTGTGTCCCCTCCAAAACCCACACACACACTAAAGCCCTAAGCCCCACTGGGCCTTTATGTGGAGACCCGGCCTGTAAGGAGTCAACAAAGTAAATGAGGTCCTAAGAGCAAGACTCTTATCCCACAGGGCTAGTGCTCTTATGAGAAGAGACATCAGCACACTCTCTCTGCTATGTGAGGAAAAAGCAAGAAGGCAGCCATCAGCAAGTCAGAAAGAGAGCCCGAACCAAGAAAGGAATCAGTCAGCAACTTGATCTCGGACTTCCCAGTCTCCAGAACTATGAGAAAATATATTTCTGTACTTTAAGCCTCCCAGTCTGTGGTATTTGGTTATGGCAGCCCTACTGACCAATACAGTTGGGGAGCCATGTCCTTCATGATATTTGCATGAATTAGATTAGCTAGATAAAAAAGGCATACTTACCAAATTTAATATGACTAAAAAAGTTGGAGTTGTAAAATAATTTGGATCCAGAACCAAGTGTCAAAGAGTCTAACAGTTTTAAAAGGTAGACAAAACTTAACAAGATGAAATTCAATGCAGATAAACATATGATCCCACCACTGAATACGAGTAAACAAACAAAGGTATCGACGCTTTTATTGAGTGTATAAGACACTTTCTAGTATAAGACCCTCTTCAAAGTCTTTAACTGGTATTATCTCAATCACTCCTCCCAATAAGCCAACGAGTAAGTTTGCTATCATTCCCGTTTTTCAAGAGGTTAAGTAACTTGCCCAAGATCACAAGGCTCTGAGTGGAAGAGCCAGGAGCTGAATCCTGGCAGTATGACTCCAGATCAGCTCTTTGGACCACTGTACCCCCACTACCCTGCCACACAGGGATGGAGCCATTGGTCAATGGAAGTAGCCCAGACCCAAAAACCCTGCAATGTATAATCAACAGTGAGACCAAAAAAGAGTCAACGGGAATAACAGCAATTCTCTATTCCTCAAAGTAACATACTCTTAGTACCAACACATTTAATATTAATATGAACCTAAAATTTTGGCAAATTTAGTCCTGCACAAACACTAAGTCACATCAAGTACCTCTTGGTAATATATAATAATAATTTTGCTCATGAATATTTTCATTCCTGCATGAGCATGTGAATAAGAGCTTCCATACTAATCTTTTCCCTGGGCCTAATTGATTTCCTAGTTCCTTCTTGCACTGGTTGAGATAAACTGCTAGGCAAATTCACTATACCGGCTTCTTTCCCCTCCCATTTCCAGCTATTCTGCAATCTCAAGTTACTAGATAAGAAGCAAGTAAAATGTTCGTGTTTAGTTTAGCAACCAAGTGGCTGCAATATTAATAACAGAAACTTCACTTATTTCTGTTAGCAAAAACAAATTTTCATGGAGTTTAGTCAGTCATACCCTTTCATCAGCTGTGCTGCTGTGAAGTAAGCAGCCATCGCTTGGTCATGCTCACTTTCCACCGCAAACGAATGGCCGTAGGCTATCCATGCAGGCCCATAGGTCTTCTCAAGTGTTGTAGCTTTGCTAAAACAAGAGTTCATTCAAGTAATTTAATGCTTATTCTTGTCTTATTTTTATTTATTTACTTATTTTTGGAGATGGGAGTCTAGCTCTGCTGCCCAGTTTGGAGTGCAGTTGCACAATCATAGCTCCCTGCAGCTTCAAACTCCTAGGCTCAAGCAATCCTCCCACTTCAGCTGCCTGAGTTGCTGGGATCAGGCATGAGCAACAGTGTCTGGTTAATACTTATTCTTAAATTATTTATTTTATATAAGCAGATGACCTCAAAGACATTAACATTCGTTTAGTAAATAAATGAGTTGTCAACACATAAAACGATGTAACGTTTATGTTAATTCAATTGAACTAAAACAATGAGAGTACTGGCCAAATTTTTAAGAAATTTCAGGAGTAAGGTCCCCAACTTTTTAGATACTGTAGGTGGATCCACTGCATTCTGAATAGAACTTAGAGTAAAGAAAACATAACACACAATATAGAAACATAAAGGGTGATACCCTACTTCCTAGCACTTTATTTTCCAAATTTTCTTTCATTCAAATATTCCGTTTCATGTAGAGCCCATCACTCAATTGCATGTTAAATCAAAGAAGCATAGTTCAAAAGAACTTCTAGAATATTATCATCATCCTACGCACAAGTTTTTCTCAAATGCTGAACATACAACTAACCAGAAAGATCTATTTTCTTCCTAGTACATGGCCCTTTCATGTCATCTTACCAATTTTTCTAACAATTATTGGATAGAAGCATAATAGCATCTCCATTTCTAGAGAAGAGAGCAGGAAAAATTAGCTTTCACAAATAATTTGAATTGATAAGCACAGAACTTGGATTAGAATTCCAGTCCAACTCCAAATTTTATTCTCTTTCCCCTAAAGACCATTTTTCATTTTGTAAAATATGCATACAGAAATGACAGGAATTATATTATTTTTATATTCCTGTACTTGAACAATATTGGCTAAATAGCTTGATTGGGTTGGGCTGCATGAAACTACAGCAAACCCTTCTATGAACCAGTTTACTCTGCCAAGAATTATTTCACAGCCACATTTAGTGACCCCAATTTTATGTCAAGTTTTGCATCATTTCACTATTAACTATTTAACTATTCACTAAAACTATTAACAAAAGAAGTCCTAAAAGTAAAAGGTTAATAGTATCTATGTAAATGAAAAAGAGAACCTTTCAAACTATGCTATTCTCCATTGTTTCATATTTATTCTCATTTATAAACAAAATTAAAAATATATAAGCTCCTTTAGAACAGAGTCTGCATCACTGATTTTTTTCTTTTTTTTCCAATATAAATAAGTCTTTTAATTAAAAAGAATATGTAAGCAGCCCTGGAAACATCCACAAAACTATAAAAAAAAGTTACAGTGGGATTATATCTGGATACAATTCCATAAGCCATGGGTTCCAAAGCCCCATAGGAAGTTTGATACATAACTTTCTAAACTTTTAAATAATGCAACTGATCTCCCTCTCAAGCAAGACACATTTGAAAGAAGACTGCAATGAGTCGTAACGATTTTGAGGCTCTTTTGAAGTGATGCGGATTCTCCTGGCTCTCGCAGAGAGGACAATGGGATTACCTGAATGAGAGGACAAACATTCCCCCGGCAGAGAACACTGGGCTGTTATATGAACAGGTGGGATCAGGTGGGTGCCCAAACTCACCCCATGGATTTACATTTGCTGTCACGTGGAGGGTTCTAAACCCAAACTGGAATCTTCTTTTTTCCAGCTGCACCTTCTGATGCTTCTCAGTATGGTTCAAATGCCCACATTCCCCTGCAATACATCTTGGGCAAGGCGGGACTGAGCTCCTTCTACCATTCTGAGGAATCCCTACCCTTGGCCTCCCCGGCCACTCTCTAGCCTGAGTGCTGGGGGGTAGCCCTTTGGTGGAGATCCCTGGCTCTCTGGGCCCCAAGACACTCAAGTCACAGGTGTTCACCCGGAGGCAGTCACACTCACGCTCCCTGGCTTCTAATCTCCTGCATGCCTGTTTTCCATCCCCAGCTCCCTGGCTTCTAATCTCCTGCATGCCTGTTTTCCATCCCCAGCTCCCTGGCTTCTAATCTCCTGCATGCCTGTTTTCCATCCCCAGCTCTTCCAGCCTCGGCAGGTGCAACTCGCCCTATCCATGCGGCCTCAGGCCTGAGCCCTGATGTTTTTCTTAATCTCTCCTCACAGCATCTTATAAAGAGCAAGGTTAACCGATACAACTGAGGACTCAGTTTACTTGTCTTTCCAATATAAACTTATCTTGCAAGTTATTAGGACGTGAGCACGTATCTAAGACATCCAACATGGTGTCTGGCCCTCAGTAAATCTGATGAAAAAACATTCATTGCTTTCACACTGCTTTTGGGGGGCTGCCCAATCTCTGCGGGACTGGATGTCTGAGAAGGTACCACTGCTTGTCAAAGACTCACACTGTAGTGTGAAAGCCAGAAAGCACCTCCGGTAGGTTGGTTAGAGAGGGAGGAAGAAAGCAAGTTCCTACCTGAGATACCTTCTGGCGTGTTCATTTTTGTGGCCAACCATGAGATAGTAACATCCCACTGCAAACCAAGACACCTAAAAAGTTCAAAACTTGCCATTACTGAAGATACTTCACCTTGAATTGGTATCTCTAACGAATTAGGCTAGACAGAGGGTAGACGAGATGCTCCTATAACACATCTTCTAGTGCAAGTTAGAAATTTCTCTGAGACAGTCTATCCACCAAGATCCAAGATTAAAGAGAACAGAACTCAATGGCTCTTTCTCAAGGAGGCTTCTAAGAAGACAGGACTCCTGAGAACTTCCTGCGTCAACCACTCCCAGCCTGTGCCTCCTGACTCTCTGGCAATGCTCATCTTCCCTGGCCTGACCCTGGCTCTTCCTTGCTCTCTGACGCAGTTCTGACTCTCATTTAGCTGGTTTCTCCTGTGCTGGCTTCACCACACTGGGCTCGGGTGCAGATTCTTGTCTGAGACTTAGATCTTGATTCCTGATTTTGTCTTTAAAGACAGTTCCTGATTCCATTTTTCACTCCTAGTTCGGCATTCTGACCCATGACAGTTTGGAATCAGTGCACAATTCAATAGGTTGTCTTATATGTGCAATATGAGGTGCTATCAGCAATCACCAGCATTTCTTATGAAAGGCAGCCATATGACTAACATAGTCAGTATTTTATGTTTTTTTACGCTATTAAGCATGTATAATTCCTATAATCAGAAAAAAATAAGAGACTTTTAAGTTATTGTTTCAGTATAATTAAAACCATCTTCATGGACTGAGAAAATCAATGCTGCTTTCTAAGTTTCTGAAGCACTTGGAGATTCCGCTCCAACACTTTAAAATAAAACATTATTTGTCTGAACTTAAATACTACTTAAGTATTTTCTTAAAGTTTAGGTAAGAAAAAAAAGAAAAAAGATTACTTACAGGATTAGTAGGATATAAATCCACCAGTTTATGAGAAAGATAGAAAAGTTCTACGTTACGGAAAAAGGAGAAAAAGAACACAATTATCATATCAAACGCAATTTAAGATACAACTTAGTTACAACTTTTCAAAATCACAAAAATTCTGTTCTCACAGCAATGATTTCATACTATTTTCCTGCTACATACAAAATGCACTACCTTACTGAAGTACAGAAAGACTACCAGGCAGATGCAGCCAGTGTCAGACCCAAAGCAGGCCCTGAGTGCTTGCGCGGGGACTGCAGAGTGCACAAAGGACATCTGATGGACAAGGTGGGAACAGACGCCCCCTTACAAAGCACTTGCCAGTGGTGCAAAGGCTACTGCAAAACACCTAATTTATCTTAGAAACAGACACCTCTCACATTCAAGTTTGTTATGGACCATACTAGTCCATATTTGGTTGATTAAACTTTCAAGTTTATCCAAACAGTGAGATTATTTCCTCATGAGAAACGTGTAAGTCCAGCACTCCATCACACTTCCCACATGCAGTCTTGGGTTCCGCAGACTGGGACAGCTAGACACTCTGCACTTCGAACATGCTTCTACAAGGTGCGATGCTACCTGTTCCACAGACCACCCTCTGAGCAGCTGGGATTTGGAGTTGAGTGTCTGGAGCTTATTTTCTTCCTGACAGAGCTCACTATTCAGTTTTTAAAGATTTAAGGACAAATATAGCTCCCAACACAACTAATTTTTTAAATATGGAAAATATGAGCAAAAAATCTGCTCCCTTACAATTTCTAAAGTTATTGACTCTCACATCAGTTTTCTTATGGAATTCACACAAAAAGAGAAAAGAGGCAGAACCGATACCCAACACTTTCAAGGTAATATACTTCGAAGCATATATTACATTTAAAAAAGGAAGCAAGAATCAAGGATAAAGAAATAAACTGCCCTGTTGGGAAAACAGAATAGACTGCTTGCCACTTTGGCAGACATTTCCTCCCTAGCTGTTATTTTTATAGTAGAACATAATTCTGTTGTTACCTGCAATCTCAAATATCCAGGATTTATGAGACAAAATTTCAAAAGCTACAGAAAAATTTTTGTCTAAGAATTATGATAATTATTTTTAAAAACTTACCATTTGCTTTATTCAGCTCCACAAGTGTCCCTATATGGACAGGTAAACAACTTGCATGGAAAGGATCTTTCTCCATTACTCTGAAAGTTAAAGCAACACATGACTACCCTCAAAACAGCACGTGAGAGCACTCATTACAATAAGCTGTGTTAAACATAGTATTTACGGCATCAAGTATGCTACTGTGGGTTATAATACTTTTTTACTTGCTTCATTCCATCATTTTCAGGTTGGTTCAATTAAGGCAATGATTAAGTTATAAAAACACGAAAAATTCTGGTTTATGTGGAAGCAATTAACATTGTACCATGTATTTACTTTAAAGTAGCACACATTATATCCAATTATTCAAAGTACCCAAAACAATGTGAAATATTAAATAGATTACAAGTATTTGTCAGTTAAAACTTTTGTGATTTCAATGATTTTAAACAACCCAAAAGAAACACAAAAAATCAGTATATGTAATTTGGCTAAAGGAGAAATTTAAAGTAAGTACACTGGAAAACTGGTGTGTGGGGAATAAGGCTTAGTCACTGAGCGTGGCAGATTAAGTACCCAGTATCCACAGGATTGTATTAGTTTTTTAAGAAAGAACAAATTTTACAAACCTATGTGCCAAAATGGTTATCTTCAAACTTACAATTATCAAGACTGGGAACTGCAACACGCATTTCTCTCCAAGCTAATGTAATACATCAACAAATACACATAAACCTGTGTCTATAAGTTGCTCTTTTAAGACAGCACTCTGTTCAATAATCTGCAGATGGTAAAGGTAACTTCAGTAATCTGCCAATGGTAATTATCATCTAATTCAAGATAATTCAGAAAGCATGCCCATGAATTACTTAGGCAAGATGGACCAAACTCCATGTTCCTACACAAAAATGGATGGATATACTTACACAGAAGTAAGCTTGTAGCACATTTTGAAATCACAGTTATAATAATGTCTCTCAGCTAAAGACACTACCACATCCAGATTCTCTTGCAAGCCATCTACAGACTCAGGGATGACAGTTTCACTAGGCTTATTATACTGAAACACAGAGAAATTCAAACATAAACTCAATGAGCAGTAAAAAATTAAAAGACAGACTCAATTTATGTTTGGCTCAAGCAGTTAAAACATTTACACACAGATATATGTGACCCTCTGAAAACGTTTTAAACTTCAAATTGTATCATACTTTCTCAATAAATTTATCTTCTCAATTTTATCACAGAACTCCACAGTGGGAACGTCTCAAAGTAGAAGTTAAGGAAACACAAGAAAAAAAAAAACCTTCATTTTCATGCAACACCATTCCATTTATTGACAATTCAATCTTTTAGTTTAAGGAGTCCTTAGGCAGAAAACAGACATTCTTAGAAATGTTTTAGGAATCATACATATTTTAAATAATCTAACTCTATTCTTGCAAATGTGCTAATTAGTACAATTTTTATTTTTAAAACTGTAACCAATAAAAGAACAAAGGGATGAAATAAGATATTTACATCAAATGCTAACTTTGTGTTTTCACTTACTTTTTTTAATTTGTTCTCAAATAGAAAACGCAGCAATTCCTGTTCTTCAGTACCAAGCTTGCCAAGAGGTAGCGACTCAAGAAGTTCTTTTTCTTTTAAGAGAAAAAAAAGAATATCCTCTTAGCATTTGTAAGGGGGAAAGTCTGCAACTAAAAATATTCTACCATAGCTATTGGTCTAAAGTAAATCAAACTTGAGAGATAAAATAAAAAGACCAAAATGTACGAGAGAAAGTTGACACATGGTTTACAGACCCAAGAGATGAGATGAGGGCAGAGCGACTCTTGCAGGACTACGATGAGGAGGCCTCCAGGTGGTTCCTATCATTAGCCAAACTGAGAACCACTAGCCTCAGCACTGCTGACACTCTGCCGTGGGTGAGCCTGTGTACTGCAGGGTGTTTAGCGGGACCTCTGGCTCCTATCTGCTAGACACAAGCAGCAACCTTCCAACGTCCCTCCACAACCCCAAGTTGTGACAAATAAGTGTCTCCAGACATTGCCAAATATCCCCTGGGAGGCAAAATCACCCTGATAGAGAACCACTGCACCAGGCTAAAATGTCAGAATTCCATTAACTCAACCATCCCACTTTCTGTTTCTCTTGTTTACGTGCCTCACATCATTCCAACACAGTTGGACAGTGGTTCTCAGGTCTCGTGGCATTTCAGTTATCTCCTGGGAGCCTTAAATAATCTGATGACAGGGCCTCACCCTGGAGATTCTGACTGAACTGCTCTGGAGTTGGTAACTAAACCTAGATGTTTTTAAAGCTCCTCAGGGATTTAAAGTACAGCTGGGTTGAAAATCCCTGAAGCAAATAATAAAATCTATACTGTCTCAATCTCTGAAAATTTAGGTAGCAAAAGGCACTGCCCAATATTGCATCTTGTAGTGCTTTATATGTGAGTATATTAAGAAAGCTAACAGGTCTATTTAAACCTGTACATAGTCTGTTCTTGAGTCTACAGATTTCAGATTAAAAAATCCAAACAATATTAACATTGCTAAACATAAAAACACCTGGGTTTCCAAACCTTCTTGTGCTGTCAACATGTGGTGTGATGTTAAAAGATCAAATGCTTCGAAACAGTAGACATCCAGTTTCAATGCTTCTTTGTAGCTATAGGTAGCCAGGGTTCGGTTATCCAGGGCGTCATAGATTTTCCCTCGTAGGAGACAAATAGAGCTCTTTATCTGAGGGAAAAATGATGAGGCACACACTAAGTCAATACTTTTTTTTTTTTTTTGAGTCAGAGTCTCACTCCGTCACCCAGGCTGGAGTGCAGTGGCATACTCCCACCACCGCAGCCTCAACCTACTGGGCTCTGGTGATCTTTTCACCTCAGCCTTCCAAGTAGCTGGAACCACAGGCGTGCGCTACCATGCCCGGCTAATTTTTGATTTATTATAGAGACGGGGTCTCAGCAAGTTGCCCAGGCTGGTCTCAAACTCATGGGCTCCAGCAATCCTCTTACCTCAGCCTCTCAAAGTGCTGGGATTACAGGCTTGAACCACCGCACTTGGCCCTAAATCAATACTTTTAGACTTAACTTTCAATAAAAATCATATATTAGGGCCAGGCTCAGTGGTTCAGCCTGTAATCCCAGCTCTTTGGGAGGCCGAGGTGAGTGGGTTGCCTGAGCCCGTGGGTTCAAGGCCAGCCCGGGCAAGCAACTTGGCGAGACCTTGTCTCTACAGTTAAAAAAAAAAAAATTAGTCGGGCGTGGTAGTACACACCTGTAGTTCCAGCTACTTGGAAGGCTGAGGTGGAAGGATTGCTGGAGCCCAGCAGGTTAACACTGGGGTGGCCATGAGTGTGCCACTGCACTCCAGCCTGGATAAGAGTGACTCCAACTCAAAAAAATAAAATCATATATTAGAATGCTGAGAAGTTTTTATTACATCTAAAAGGATTTAATTAACCATAACTGTCAAGGTATAAATTAACAAAAACACAAAAGCATTGCAGAACTTCTTCAGTCCATCTTCCATGGGTTCTATCCACTATGTTCCAACACATCTTTATAACTAATGTACATGCCACAGCTACTAGGTTCATTACTTGTTTTATCCCAAATAGTGCAATGATTCAAAGACAGAAAGCAGTGTGTGTGTGTGTGTGTGTGTGTGTGTGTGTGTGTGTGAAATCAAACTTTAAGATGGGACAGATTGATATGGAGACCCCGTGAAAGGATCACAGTGAGCTTTAGAATCTGGCAGCAATGCAGCACAGTGCTCAAAGAGGTCAGGAGCATGGCCTGCCAGAGCCAGACAGACCTAAGTTCAAATTCCGGCTCTGTCACTTACTTGTAACCTTGGACAAGTGATTTAACCTCTCCTGACCCCCTTAGCTTCCTTTCCTCATTTATAAAAAGGAGAAAACAATCTCCAGAACTCTGGGAGGATTAGAGATACTACTATCTCTATTGTGTTAGCACATTGTAAGGCCCTCAAAAGCCTCACTACTACCACTAACAAGAGAACGTGGAAATCTGACTCACATCCCAGACTCAAGAACCTCAAAAAACACATAACTGAGGTTAAAGATGACCCAGAGATGGGCAGCTCAAATCCTTAACGATATGAAGGAGATTCATAAGTTAAAATCTTTTTAAAAAGGACATTATGAGAGTCTTTGACCTAGGCAATATCATTGTCAAAAACTTTTTCATAAATAATAATGCATTACAAATAAATCATGCGTTTCTTAGATAAATTGGCAAAAGGTCCCAAAATAATAATGACAAAACCAAACACCCTCATAAATGCATTTCTAGGAGAAAACTTAATGTGTTTCTGGCACATAAATTAATAAATGAATAGTCAAAAAAAGGAAGAAAAACTCCTAGAATGTGTGATATTCCCAACTTTTTACGATGAAATGCAGAGTAACCAAGTTCCCTCATAAATATGTTATAAAAAATAACTGGATGAGAAGATGGGGAAATTGGTGGATTAGATAAGGGGTATAGGGATTCTTCCTGAATAATAAAAATTCCCTAAAATTGACTACAGTGAACTTTGCATGGCTCTGTGACTATACTAAAAACCATCAAACTGCACACTTTAAATGGGCAAGTTGGATATGTGAATTATACCTCAATAACTTTTTAAAAAAAAAGATTAATGAACTCCAGATTAGTGATCTGACTTTGGATGTCATTTATTAAGTTATCATGCAATTTCTGCCAGCAAGAAATTTTCTTTTTTTTTTTTTTTTTGAGTTGGAGTTTCACTCCGTTGCCCAGACTGCCATGCAGTGGCCGCTTCTGGCCACTGCAGCCTCGACCGCTGGGCTCTGGCGATCCTTCCGCCTCAGCCTACCAACTAGCCGGAATTACAGGCACACACTACCATGCCCGGCTGATTTTTGATTTATTGTAGAGATGAGGTCTCGCCATGTTGCCCAGGCGGGTCTCGAACCTGCGGGCTCAGGCAGTCCACTCACCTCAGCCTCCCAAAGGTGCAAGAAATTTTCAATGTCAGGGAGATATGAGTATACAAATGGAAATAAAAACAATCTAAGCTAATAAAAAGTTTTTTGGAATAGATTCAGAAAGCTGTTGAATAAGAAGGAGAAAAATTATTCTGCCGGTGGGGTGTGGTTTAAGGCACTAAAATATGAGGAAGATCAAGTCAGCCTATTTCAAATGTAAGCATCTGACAATAAAGTTACAGCTTTCAAATGACGGCTCAAAGTGTCTTTTGGCTTTTGGCAGGCAAATTAAGTTGACAACTGTAACTGTTTTAATACATAATACTTCAGTAAAAGAAGATAACTTGTTTTTTATATGTAACGTGGACAATTCTTACTACTGTTATTGAAACATGGTAAGACTATTACTTACTGAGGATTGTGACATCTCCCAGTCACTGGAGGAATCCTTCAAACCACTTTCATCCTTCGAGTATTTTTCAAATAATCTTTTGTTGATTGGTTCCTCCATATCAAGAATATCAAGTGCCTGTTGGTGCTCTTTTGCAGCATACTATGTAGGAAACAGAAGTACTATCCATCACCCATGACTTCGAACACTACATACATAAACATAATACCATGGATTTTTTTTTTTTTTTTTTTGAGTTGGAGTCTCACTCTGTCGCCCAGACTGGAGTGCAGTGGCCGCTCCCAGCCACCGCAACTTCGTCTGCTGGGCTCCGGTGATCCTTCCGCCTCAGCCTTCCAAGTAGCTGGAATTACAGGCATGCGCTACCACGTCCGGCTGATTTTTTGATTTATTGTAGAGATGAGGTCTCACCAAGTTGCCCAGGCAGGTCTCGAACCTGCGGGCTCAGGTAATCCACTCACCTCAGCCTCCCAAAGGCGCGGGATTACAGGCTGAGCCACCGAGCCCGGCTATCCCGGATTTTTAAAGGGCAATAAATATATCCATTACTTAACTTTAAAATGTCTAAAGTAGAATTTTGTTCATGCGTGTCAGCTTTTAAGTAAACGAAGAATCGGTAATTACAGCAAACAATAAAGTACATTTCCTCATGAGATACTTTATTAGCCTATCACATCCATCACTGAAATTCTCATATATATTATACATAATATTCACATGATCAAACTTTCATTTAAAAAAAAAGAGAATATACTTACATGGCATCTAGCTGCAAGATAACGACATGCTTCATACATCTAGGAAAGAAATTAATTTAATTAGGAAGTGGTCAAATAATATGTTTCTTCACTTTAAAAAACTGTAAGTATGAAATGGGGAGGGCTACTTTCATTTCTTTTTCTCTTGCAGTAAAACAACAACAACAAAACTGTCTTTTTAAGCCATAATCATCATGAACCTACTGTTTACTAGGCACAAAGGACTCTAAAAGGAGTAAGGACCTGCCTCAGGAGGTTATAGCAGGGGAGACGTAAATACAGCGCAATGGGGAAAGCACAACAAAAGGGTGTAGGAAGCATCAGTCAGCCGAAGAAGGAAACACACGCAGCGGGGAGGAGTTGGCCAGGCAAGGGAGTGCTGGGCAGCACTGGAGGCACTGAGTGTGAGCAGCCACTGCAGATCCAAGGAGCTGAAAGCACAACGCGAATGGAACACCTGCTCCACGTGCTGCTGGCGGTGGGTGAGAGGCAGCATGGAGGGCTTCCGGTAGCTACTGAGGCATCTGATTCTATCCTGCAGGTAATGGGAAATCCCGAATGACTTTATGGGTGAGACAATGAGATCTGTGTTAGAACTATTTCACGAGATGAACTGAACAGAGAAAGGTGGGAAAGGAAAAACTTACTGGAGAAAAGAGACAAGAGGCTGTAACAGAAGAGAAATTAAAGACCTGACATGTACCAGTGACCAAGGAAAAGGAGCATCCATGATTCTGGAGCTATTTAGAAAACAGATTGTTCAGAACTTAGTGACTAGATGGGGGTAGGGGAAAACAAGGTGACTGGAATTAGGTTTAAGATATTTTCTTTCCACATTGAAGAGAAAAATTGAATCATTTTAAGTAATTTTTACATAAATGGAATACATACCTAAAATACTAATCTAATAGTTTTTTTTCCTACAGCTCTGAAGATCTTTAAAGCTCAATTACTTACTTTGTCCAGTTTTCGTGACCGAAGTGCGTGGGCTGCTCTATGATATTGTGCCGTCAGGTAAAGACATTGCGCCAACCAATATATGTCCTGGGGTTCCTCTAGAAGAAGAAAATTACATAAATGCTCAGAGGCACAAGGTGAAATAGTAAGATTTTTTTTTTTTGAGTCGGGGTCTCACTCTGTTGCCCAGGCTGGAGTGCAGTGGCACAATCGTGGCTCACTGTAGCCTCAAACTCTTGGGTTCAAGTGATCCTCCCACCTCAGCCTCCCAAGCAGCTGGGACTACAGGCAGGTACCAACACATCCAGTTAACTAATTTTTTAAAAAAAATTTTTTGTAGACACAAGGTCATGCTAGGCAGGCTAGGCTGGTCTTCAGCTCTTCAGCTCAAGCAATACTCTTGCCTTGGCCTCCCAAACGGCTGGAACTATAGGCATAAGCCACCATGCTGGGCCATCAGTAAGATTTTTAAAGATTAATCAGAAAAAAATAGCAGCCACCACTTACCATGAGAGAGTGAAGCTACTTTATCTGCCCAAAATAGAGCACTTTGAAACTGTTGCTGTAAACAAACAAAAAAAGTATAACTGCTCTGTTACTTCAGTAGTGTTAAAGAGACAACTGACATTATTAGAATGCTATATAGCACACCACAGCTCAATAGTTTTTTACATGTAGTAGAGGTCTAGCAATCATATCGCTATCTAACATCTGGCTAGGGTGAATTTTAGTTCAACGCTGTAATAACAACACTACTCTAAGATCTTCCTAGACTCAATTCTTTGCACATACAATTAATAAAGGTAGTTTTTAAAAACTCACACACACAGTAACTCAGCAAGTATCTAAAACAGCAAATGATTTTGTAATATCCAGTCAGCGCTTCTCGTGCTGATATTTCTGTGACACTTTCAACAGCTATTAATGAACCTCAAAGTAGAATTTAGTAGACGGAACACTATGCTGGAATATCTCAGAAACACTGCTGTAATTCTAACAACAGCAAAACGTAAGACTACAATCACATAAACTAAGACCCCCTTCTCCCTGCAACTCCAGCAAAAACAGGGCTAGCTTCAGTCCCCGCTCTGGTCCTCTGTTCCCAGTCTTCCAGTCTTCCTTGCCTCAGTTTCCCGGAGGCAGGCCGGGGGCAGCAGGGACGCTTACGGCATGGCCACCGAGCCGCCCGGTACGGGAGTCCCGACGGCGGAGGCCAGGCTGCCGCCTGCCCCACCACGTCCCGGAGCCCGAAGCGGGCCGGAAAACAGCCGGCTGCCGAC